TTTTTTTTTTTTTTTTTTTTTTCAGTACAAAGAAGGAGGCCAACAGCCTAATTAGCTAAGATTTTACGGGGGTAAGAAACCCCAATGATATCATGCTCAAGCCACGAGTTCAATCCAGTAGGCGGTGCAGTTATCCTCTGCAGCCCAATTGGGCAATATGTCGCCATACTCGCCAAGTGATCGGCTGCGAAGTTGGCTTTCCTATGAATATGTCGAACTTGAACGGTCCACTCCCGCTGCAACAGAAGTCTAATGCCCTGGACTAATGAGTGATTGGATGCAAATGAACCATCAGAGCTAAGCACCATTTGCGATATGCATTTGCTATCAGTCTCAGCAATGACTTGGCGGTATCCATTATCCCATGCCAGTTGGAGACCCTGGAAAAGACCCCACAACTCAACACCCGTAATGGTGCAGACCCCAATATTCATAAGAAATCCCTCAATCCAACCATCCGGTCGTCCCTAAGTAAGCTGCCCGCACTACTAATGCCCAAGAGATTATTAATTGCGTCATCCGTGTTCACTTTAACCCATCCCGGGTCTGGTAGAGTCCAGTGCACCATATGTGTTATATAAACCGCAGCCCCAACCTTGCCGTAAGCAGCTTCGGCTCGGGCATAACTATCCACAAACCTCACAATATCAACCCGTCGGGCTTCACTGCTTAGCATTTTGAACTTAAACACACGCTCATTTAGCATTTTGATATATAGTTGACTGTTTGCAATGGTGATGATACGTACTCTAAACTAGGCTTTACTTAATTAGTTCAGAATCAGCGAAAATGCTGAGCCCACCCAACATAATCAAGTGTAACACTCTTTGATAAACTAATCACAAATAATCTTATAACACACAAATAATTGGAATATGTGCCCAAATGTTGGATGAGAAAAACTATTTTATTTCTTCCATTAATGAATTCAAAATAATATATATATATATATATAATTGGTATCCCAAAACCCAATTCCAAATTCATTAATAAAAATCCAATAAAATAAAAATAATTAGCTAGCTAGTTTAAGGGTCCGCATCGGAATAACACGCGGCGGCTGATCTGCCAGCAGCAATCGCTGGTAATAGTCTACGCAGAAGAAGGACAGCGAGCGACAGCTCAGCCTCGTTTGGGGTCCACGCGCTCCTTTCCCGCCGCTGCCGCCTGCTTATGAGCAGCGGCCTCACGCAAGCAGTGTAGAGGCGGCGGTATCCCCCGAGCGCCGCCACCAGCGCCCGCACCCCGTCGGGCGGCAGCGCCAGCTGGCGAAAGCAGAGGTACTCCCAAAGGGCTTTGCTCCGGGCAAGTCCCCGCCATAGGCGGCAGACGCCCGCCGCCGCCACCAGGGACCGGTCGTCCAGCCTCTTGGGGACCTCTGCCACCACGTCTTGGTTGTCGTTGATGCTGAACCGGCGACCCCGTTTCTCGCTTTTCTCCCCACACAATTGCACCATATTCTCGTAAAATTATAATATGGGGCCTTTTGGTATCTATGAAGAATGGGAATTGAAAAGTAAATGTGACTGGCTAGTATTTATACTCACACAAACCAAATAGTTAGGCAGTCTTGGTTTTCAATTAATATATATGTGTCATTTTAAACTAAAATGTATACTCGAAAAAACAATATAAAAAAAAATACGATATTTCATAAAACAAGTATGAATTATATATATATAGGGTTGGGTTCACATGAGAATGGTTCTCAATGAAAGAAATGAGAATAAATCGTAGCCATTAGATCGGATGATCTAATGGCCAAAAAAATTAGCATTTATTTATTCATTAAGGGTACTTTAGACATTTTAACATTTTAACAATTAATTATGCCAACTAACAAGTCACCTCCACCCAATTATTGTGTGACACGTGGCGAACACACATCACACAGCCCTATTATCCTACCCTCTCCCTCTCTCTCTCTCTCTCTCTCTCTCTCTCTCTCTCTCTCTCTCTCTCTCTCTCTCTCTCTCCTCTCTCTCTCTCACACACTGACACACACACACACACAAAAATCGGTCAACACACACATTACACATAGCACACACGCACATACAGTCACGAGACCACCACCGCCTGATTTTCCGGCGACAACATCCTGACGACGGCTTAAACGTATGAACATCTCCACCAGGCCGCCGCGCCGTCGTAAGCGATGGAGGTCCGATCCACTGCCGGCATTAACTTCATCTGGAAATTTAGAACTTCCGGCTACAAGTTTCCACACGTCATCGGGATCTCTACATCGGACGTCGCGGAGCTTGAAGTCGCGCGCACACTTCTCTGCCGTTGGTCCGTCTTACGGAGCTCCACCGCCGTCGTTCTCCATCCATTTCAGACGACGGCAGATTTCACCCACTCCCTCTGGAAGTTAGCGCTGAAGATCGGGTCGCAGCAGAAGAAGCTCCGGGAGGAATGACTGAGGCTGATGAACACGTCGACGTCGGATGTCCCCGCCGGAGATGGCCGTGCGGCGGCGGTGAGGTGGTTGTGAGGAAGAAGACAGATTTGGGGATTAGGTTGAATAGGGAAATTAAACTATTCAAAGGGGCTGATTGCAATTTAATAAAGTTTGATTATATTTACATTTGGTACATGTGCCAAATATATAATTTATAGAACATTTAATAAATATATTTTAATGATAAATTGTTTTACAATGTAATGTGTATATTCTCATTAAATACTTATGCGACGCGAGCGTACTACGACATGCACATTAATGACTATCACATTGCACATTAATGACTAGCCGACTGCACCATATAACAACCACAACAGAACTAACTAATTTATTTGTTTAAATTTGTATATTAAAGTTCAAATATGTGTTTACTTTTAAAGTTTTTGTTATTTTGGTTTCAGCTTTACAATTAAATAAAAACGAGATAACAAAACAACTGAACTATATAAAAAATATATATTTTTTCTATATATTTTATTTATTAAATATATTGTTATATTCAGTGGAAAGCAACGATAAAAGAATATTAACACACAAAATATATTTTTATAATAAAGCACAAACCATTTCAGGGATTTAGGGTGCATCGTATAACGGATCGACTAAACTGATGAATTCAATACAATTACATGTGGTGCACTTTATACATCAATACGTTGCACTTTATAAAACAACACGTTGCACTTTATCACAATACTCAACCATTATCGTCGATAACTCCGGTCAAAACTCCACACAACATAAATCTGAATAATCGATACACATATAATTTTTATTATTCAATTAATTTAGTTAACTGAAAAAATAATATGATTATTTTGGTTTTAGTTTGGTCTTGGGCAAACATCAATTAATGCAATACAATTACATGTTGTGCACTTTATATATCAATACATTGTACTTTATAAGATAAAATCTTGCACTTAATAAAAAAAACGCTGCACTTTATGACACATTAGCGACTGATGGATTGCACTATATCAATCAAAAATATATAACATATGTTTAAGCTTCACATAAATTTGTAAAGTGCATTTGTACACACATTATTGTGCAATTTATTTATTAGTGTTGTGCAATTATTACTATTTTAATAATATCATCTAAAAAAATAGTAGTATATTAATAGGCAAATGTACACCTAATGATGCGTTTATTAAAGTTTTAAAAAATTTCAAACTTAACCCATATACTTAATTGAACTATATTTAACTTTTTAAATTTGCATATAAGTCCTCAGGCCTTATCAAATTTTTCAAAAGAAGCCCCTCAGCCCCTAGAAAACTCAGCCACTTCCAGCGGCCGTTTCGGCCACCGTCGTCGCCGCACAGGGACGTCGCCGCCGCAGCATCCCCATACCATGGTCGTCTCCGGAGACCCTGCTACATCGCCGTCGCAGACTTTGGCGTGCATAACAACACCCATCCTCGTCCCCTGCTCGTCCGCCATTCTCATGCCACCGTCGTCGCCGTTGAAGCCCCCACCGACCACCGCTGTCCCCTACATAAGCAACTTCAGACGCCGGTCAGTCCATTAAGGTCCATCCTCCTACCTCCACAATTGACGCGACCACGAGCACCTTGACAAGATTTGCTACCTCCGCCGTTGTCGTGGCCCGTCAGATCTTACAGATTACCGCCAAGGAGGACCACACAGCCACTTATAGTGCCGGAATCGGAGGGTTCTCCACATCGATTGCAGCGGGCTGTTGTCGCTGGCGATGTTGAGGCTTGCGGCAGAGGCACAGGGGATGTCCGGCGGCTGCTCCGTTGAGATTGAGTATGTGTGTGTCGTATGGTGTTTTGTGTGTGTTGTGTGTGTTTGGGTGTGAGAGAGGGGTTTTTGTTGGTGTGTGGGTATTAGAGAGAATGAGTGGGTTTGTTAGTGGTGGGACCCACCAGGGGTGGATGACAAATGACAGAAGTATCCTTAGTGGTATAAAATTGATCACGAAATTTTACTTATTTACTTTTCTGCCATCGTGATTTTTTAGTTTATTATTCAATTTTGACTGAATCTTGACCATTGGTAGTATGAATCCACTGGTATAAGATCATTCTCATTTCTTTCACTAACTATCATACTCATATGATCTCTTACCTATATATATATAT